CTGCCGCTGCTTGTCCTTTTTAAAAATGCAGAGGAGCAGCATGAGGGTTGTCCTGAGACCCAGTGGGGAACCAGAGAATGAGCCAGCATCTTTGCATGTTGGCTCCTCTCCGTCCCTTTAAGAGTGCAGAGCGGCGGGGGGAGGAGGAGGTGATCGAGTAGTCGATAGTGCTACCCGATAAGCTCCTGCTTATTGTGTAGTCGACTACTCGCTCACCTCCCTAATTCCCCCCATAGCACCTGGCCTGACTATTCCAGCTGAATATTGGGGTCTGGGATTTGGATCTCTAAATGCCCTAGCAAAGGACTCTGGCTTGATCTAGACCCCTCCCCCCCCCCCCCGGACGTCGACTGGAGTCTGTATCATGGGGCTGTGGAGCAGCACCTCCGTGAAGATGAATTTGTGTGCACAGTGGGAGAGAGAGAAGTAGATTGCAGTTGTAGCAAAGCTTCAGGTCTGGATCTGCTACTCTTAGTAGGGTGGGGTGGAAAGTTGCTCCCCTTCCCTTTATGGCTAATGAGGTCACCAGCTTACCAGGCCAGCTCTGGGAGCATAGGCGGCAGCCATGTGAGTAACTGAGCCCATCCAGGTTCTCCACATCACCCGCCAGACATTTTGTTTTCCCGCTGCCCATGCGCAGGGTGTCCAGATTCCGCTGGATTCTGGCCGTGTAGTTTTTTTCCGACCGATATTACTAAAGTGACACGCGCATAAAACAAGGCGCCAGGGAATGAGGTGCATGCTCATTGCACACAGCATTGACCGTGAGAGCCGCGTACGACCTCTGCATCCAATCAAAGTGCCGCTACGGTTCAGTCGGCGGCCCCGCAAATTCTAGGAACGCAAGCAGAGCGAACAAAACGAGCGTATGCTGCAGGACTGTCCTAGATACGACCAACTTGCCGCCCACTGAGATGGAGGGCCATTCATGAGTCCCCCTGCATTACCCATTGCTGAAGTCACTTAAGTATTTCAATTCCCACCCATCTCTGTTTGGAATCTGCTTGTGCCGAATGCTAGCTGCTTTGCGCCGCTTGTTTTTAACGGAAGCCGCGTAACGCGCACAGCCAGTGTGGTTACCTCTTGGAGAATTCAGTGCTGCTCTTATGTATCTGGCCACTTGATAGAAGTAAATGCTGAGATCAAAATGTGGATCATCATCGGCTTCTATCCCGTAATAATCTACGGGCAGCTCTCTATAGAATTTAGCTCCGGTGTCAATGTGAAATCGGCCAGCAGCAGCGTTCACGATGTGGGTGATACCCATTCGGCGAAGCTGGGCTTTGTCCTGAGCGGTATATCTGCAAGAAGGAACACCTTGGGCATACTGGGCATGTGAAAGGATTTCTCTGCCCACTGCCCCACAAATCTCCAGGCCAAACTATCATGGAATTACTTGTGCATAGATTGTTATTACAGTGCTGAAAGGCACGCTAGCTGCTTTGAAATATTAGAAAACAGGAGCAGCTCCATTTTTTTCCCCATCGGTGTCCCCCACCCCACCCCCGAGCATAAACTGGCTTGTGAATTTCTCATTGCCACCATGGGTGTTTTTCCGATTTTCATTGGGAAAAAACATTTTTTTCCCCAAAAATAGTTTAACAAAATATTTTTTAAGCACGGTTAGCGTACTCCGCTGCTGTACTGATGCAGTGCTTTTATGCTAGCACAGAGAAGATACGGTCATGCTCATTTTAGACCTTGGGAGGCATAAAAATGGTGTAAACCTGCCTCTCCTTTTTAGGTTCTGCTCTAAGCATAATTCAATCAGAGCCAAGGATTGGGCCTCCGTTAGCAGATGGCTCCCAAACCTTCCATTCTCCAGTGATTTCATCTGACAGTCCCCATTTATCACCTAGGTTTTGTCTTATTTTAAGGTCAGTTTCTTGAGGAGGCTCACTTACAAGTCTCCCACATAGAGGTTTGGCCAGACTTCATTCACGTGGCCAGTGGAAGGGGTATGTGTCCACAGCAGGCGGTGAAGTTCTGTCAGAGGTGGCGTTTGGTAACTGCTCTGGCTTCTGGGGGTCAGGCTGGAAGCGCTTCGTATCCTGGGGCGCAGTAAGTCCTCTGTGCACAATGAATGGAAAGCCATCCTGAAATACAGAATGAAGACGACTTACCCCCTAATTTATACGGTGGTCCATTCTCCCTCCCACTCAAAAACTCACCTGCCATTGCAAGAACTTCCAAGGTCCCTGCCTTCAAAGAGCTTACCATCTGTCAGCTCTGTGTTGGTACAGCACTTCGCACAAGCGGGCCCTGATTCATGACAAGGGCTCGGTGCTATTCCTACAATATGAGTCACAGTAGGAATAATTATCTATTGCGCGGTTAAGGGCAGTATTTTGATAGTGCTGAATAGTTCCATTCCAATGGTTCTATTCATTGCCCAGATGACAAACTTCCACAGTAGGAAGGAACTGCATGAGCAGGGTGTAGGCGTTAGCACTTTGGAGAGGATTAATTTTATTTCACTTACTTTCCTCCTTTTCTCTCTCCTCTCTAGACATCTAGTCTGGAAATAACGGTTGGAATTATAGATGGAAACAATGCCGTAGGCGTTGATTGTGCCTGGCTTTATTCAGTCCCTTGGAAGAGTAGCTCTTTGGTTCTTTAACTGGACATGGGTTTGAGCTTTGGGACAATTCTTAGGAGCAGAAAAAAGCAGAAACACTCCAGCTGAGGTCATCAATTTGTCTACGCCACAACAAAAAGAATTATAGGGGGACAATTTACTTATGGATAATCCTCAATGAGCCTAGTTGGGCCACCGTAGCCCCTAGCTCGCTCACAGCAACATTTCCCAATGATAAAGGACCAGAATGCTTTAGAGGGCTGGTCATAGGATATGGAACTGTCAGGGCTATTCCTCACTCTGGTACTCCAAGTGCAGAAGGAAGGGGCCCGCAAAGACTTTCAATATACCTTGCCACTATAGGCACTGGTTATAAATTTCAATATACCTTGCCACTATAGGCACTGATTATAAATACTTCCCCCAGCATCACAACACACAGATTTTGGGGGGTTGCTGCCACCATCAAGTAATTTTTATCCCTAAAACTGGGGCAGACACTAGAAGCCACCCCCAGGTTACCCCAAGTTCTTCTGCCACAAGAGAGCTTAAAAAAAGAAAAGAGGAAAAACAAGCTGCCATCTCTATTAGCTGCCAGTCTGAGGCTATGTCTAGATGTGTTTCTTACACTGTGTTTTGTGGTACACCGGTGTACCACGAGGCAGTTGGAGGTATGCCGCAGAGAACAACAGAGTTCAAAATGGGCCCTTTTTTTCTCAATAACTCCCCTTTCTCCCCACCGCCCCCA